CTGCAGGATGTGCTTGCAAAATTGAACATACTGTTTAAATAATCCCTGGCTTCATTATTGTCCTTGAAGAAAAAGGCAGCTATCAACTCTAAACATTTTAATGTCTGGCACACCTGGCTGGAGCACATTATTACACGCAAATGGAAGAACTCATGAGCCTGTGCAATTATTAGCATAATAAAAGAATGATCATTATGGCAGTTTCCTGAGATCAGTAGACCTGGTTAATATAATTTCCCTCAGTTTTAGGTATGCTGTGCTACTTAGATTATGATGCAAACTTTTGCTTCCTTAAAGATGGCCATCTTTTCTTGTACAACTCTATCATCCCACAAAAACAATTCTCATCTTCTCACCCACTCAAGTAATGGTCACCCCATCCTAATCCATCTTCTTATGAGATCAACTATTCTCCTGTATTTTTCTTAATTACTCTGTGTCTATTCACTTTCCTCATAAGAGTTCCATGCTTCCATCTATTCCATCCAAAGAAAAAGGCTGAACAAAAAGCCCTCTAGACATTTGCTACCTCTGTTTACCTTTGCCTCCAAAGTAAGACTTCATTTTACTTTCTCTTTTTCATTTTTACATTACCTAAACCATGAGCTTTATTTTTACCTGCTGGAGTTCTCCTTTATATTATTCTAGAGACTCTTTCACTATATCTCCCTGCATCATGCCCTCTATTTTCACTAAACAATAATTGTGAAACTGAGGTCACAACCTTTATCTTTCCCCTTTTGAGCTACAAAATCTAATTTTACTCCATGGCTGTGATCACCTTCTATTGCATTGTTGTATTTTCCCTATATCTGTCCTCAATGAATGACAGCTCCTCTACCCTCCCCTCTCACTCTAGCCCACACACAGACTCAGTGTTGTTGCTTAATATCATCCTTTCAGTTATCATTCTACTCTGTCAGCAGCTGTGCCTCCTCCAGAAACTCTCCTGTCTATACCACATTACTTTGTTTTTCTTTAAGGTCCTTGTCCATACTGTAACACCTTATTCATGACCACCTTGCAGATAAGTTTCTGTCTATGATCTATCAATGGCATCAACTTCATTTTACACCTTCAAACATACCTTTCCCTGCTTTCTGTTATGCTAGTTTTCATTCCCCAAAAGAGCCCAGCTGAAATATGTAGAATTATTATAATTCTCTTTCTTTAAATTCTCTTTACAGCAATAGCTTGATAGGAAAATTCTAGCCTCTGGCTATTCTGCTAATATTACCCACATTATTTCTATTTATTTTCCTCTTCCTCAGCATTGCCACCAGTCCTAAACTTAGTAAGAGCTGTTTGGTACACCTCTAAATTTACAGTGCCCAAAAAAACTTCTAATAATCCTTGGATTCAATTTAAGATTATTGTAAATCAATGGTATCCAATAATTGAATTTTATAATGTTTTGTTGAAGGTGATGGAATTTTAATCCTCTTCAAAAAAGAGCATACACAAACTAGTTATACAATGACTATAAAAGAAATTATTCATTCAGCAGGATGAACATAAGATTCTAAATTTCTCACCAGTTTTCAGATAAAAAAGCCCAAACCCTACCAATTTTTCTATTTATAGTCACCTAGAATTATCTCTCCTTAGTCAGAGACAAATCAACAATGGACTTTGGAAGGTTTCATAATAAAGCATCAATAAGAAAAACCATTATGCTGAAGATAAACATGAGAAGGAGGTAGAGAAAATTGTGCAGATAACATTTGAAATGCATCGGAATTAGGTTTATATCTCCTGTTGACATTTCTCATGCTAGTTTGCAACAAAGGATCCAGTTTACCATTTAGAAGATGAACCCCCCCACCCCCCCACTTCATGCCTCCAAACCAGAAACAAACTGCTGAACTTGGAAAAAAAGATTTGTCTGTTGTAGTCAGAGTCCTAGGAATCCCTAAACTTCTGTCTGGAATTTTTGCTTACTCTAAAAGAGCCAAGCAATTAAAGACATATAATTATGCATATACATCAAGCCCTAAGGAGGACATTTTCAGATTTTCTAGTTTGACTGAGTCTACCAAGACACACGTTTTTAGGGCACATAAAAATATGTTGGGTAAGAATGTGAGAATAGTGAAATTTTAAGGTGCTTTCCAAATGTTTTTCTTAGATACCTGAGGATGTAGCCCTGTTTCCTAAGAAACAGGTTGTAACAGTAGCCTAGAAAAGAAAAACATATCTGTCCTTCTCTCAGGGCTGGACTGTTTAAAGCTGAACAAGGCAGTTTTGTCTTCATGACAGCCCTAAGCATTTTAATGCTGGACACAAAGTAGAAGAACACAAGGGTTGTAGGACTTTGGCATGATACTTAAACTAGCAAAAAATATTGCGTCAACTTTTTCGCATTCCATTCAAATACCTAATTTTCTGTATTACGACACCTTTTTACTATAAAGATTGTACTGTTTCTGGCAGTGCTTGCATAGCAAACTCAACAGATACTGTACCTAAATTTAGGCCATATTTCAGACATTAATTTCTGGTCACTTAAGGAGTGGTTTTGGTCATGTAAAAGATACATATTTGGCATTAATGTTTTCAGGATTCAATCAATCAATTCAGGATTTGGCAAGAGTTTTGGCCCTTCATCCTGCCCAGTTGATCTATGGAAAGATTTTAGTGTTCTAACTTCTAATTGTTATCTCAGCCAAATGGCAGAATAGTTGCCAAGAGTAAGTAAAGTCTATGAAAAGTAAAACTTTGGGGAAAAAAAAGAGAACACTTTAAAGTTTGGGCTATTATAAAACTTAGAAGGCTGTTTGTTTGGAAGCATAGTAAGTTGTTAGGTGACATAATGGAGCACAAGTCCTTGAATTGCCAGGTCCAGTATATATTGTGACCACTATTATTTGCTAAGTGCAAGAAAATGACAATGGTAAAGGCAGATGATTCATTTTGATGCTCTATTACTTCAGAAGGTAATGGCTGACCTTTTTAAAATATGGAATTTCCAGATCCTATAAGTTATATGGTCAGATAATTATTTCAAGTCTATAGGTTGCTTGTGTTGTGGGGTGCCCTTCTCAAATCCTGCAGCTGAAGAAAGTGACACATCTTTCAAGTTTAACATAAATGCAAATGCTGAAAATTCCTCAAGTATAAGGTGATTTCCCAGGGAATACAGAAAGATCCCACAGTAAATTTACAGCAAACCAAAACTTTTCATGCCTCCAGCATAAGATATCATCTCTAGACCTGTACATTTTTAGTTAGCTGTCACCTTCAGGCCTTTCTTTAAAGGCTGTTCTTTTATTCTGAAAGCAGCTTGAGTCTAAACTGGCTCATTGGCTTCTCTGTGCCATAGCATATTCAGATTATCCTATAATAAAACAGTGTGTCTTCACTGTGCCACTGGCTCAGAGTTTACAGCTCAGGCTTCAGGCTGAAGAAAGGCACCTAAACCATTTGCAGAGCAGGCTTGGCCCCAGAAGCAATAGTGTCATTCACCCAGCTCCATACTCCAGCTACTGAACCATGGGCAGACACAAAATGGCTTTCCTCACAATTGACTGCAATATTATAATATCTGATGCCTGACTAATTCATAATCCAGCTAAACTGCTAAATAACACAGCTGACTATTAAATGTGCAGTTTTCTCTCCAGAAATAGAAAAGAATGTACTGTCCTGCATCATTTCACTTCCAAACAAGCAAACCAACATTTCAGTTCCCGAAACTTCAATTAAACATCAAAATTCTTTCAGAGATCTGGAACTGAAATTATTTGTGCTTCCCTCCCAAATCCTGATCTCTTAGTCTAAATTCATTGGACACTGTATGCTCTGCTTCCTTCTTGGCTGCAATTGTTTCCCTACCTATAGTCACTTCTGCTTTGAACATCACCTTCAACATCCCCATCCCTACTGACAAGAGACTTTTTTCATTATTTTGGAGCAATGCCGAGAAGATAATTACTGCTTATTCTGTTACCCCATTGCAATGTCCTGATTTTCCTTCACTCTATTTAATCACCAAGTAATATTTTCCATTTGTTTTCATTTTTACCCTTTTGACTTTTTGCACTTGACTTTAGATGGCGATCAGCCTTTTTCTATTTTATTCCCTGAAGGCTCACTACTTATGCCTCATACAGTTTCTGAGACTGTTACTTGCTTCGCTGAGAGAACAGAGCCTTTTCCCTACTGTTTTTCCTATTTGGGAAACACGTTTATCATACTTTTACCGTATCTGAGTTAGAGAAATTTCTATCCTCCTCCATAATTAAGTCCCTGATTTTCCACTTAATTTAAATTAGTGTGCTTGCAATCACTGTAATCTGATCCCTGCCACTATGTCCCACCAAAACTAAGGCCAAAATACAAAAATATTGTGTGGCTCTTCAGTGACCACTTCACAGAATAATGGGGTTCTGCTCTTACTGCTTTCTGTTAGCTCTTGTAGCAAGACAACATCTTTTCCCACTAGAAATTGTTTTGGTTTTTTTCACAACCATTTTTATATTAGAGTTAAGGAGTTGATGTCCTCAGTGCCTGTAAACTTGGTATTTCTCTCCATGGTGTTTCAGCTGCATAACGGCAGAAGACCTTCTCTCGAGACTGACACAGGTGCGCGGCTGAGCCGGGAGGTCACTGCGGACAAACAGGTGCAGAACAAGAGATCGGGCAGGCAATGCACCTTAGGGCCGGGCAGTGCGCGCGAGCTCCCTTCGCTCGCAGCCGCGAAGCTCCGGCCACGGGGGGCCTGCACGACGGGATGGGCAGGCGGAGCCCGGCCGCTCCGCGCTCCCTGGAGCCGTGTGAGGACCGGGAGCCGCTCCCTGGTGCCGTGTGCGGGCCTGGAGCCGTGTGAGGGCCGCTCCGCGCTCCCTGGTGCCGTGTGCGGGCCTGGTGCCGTGTGAGGGCCGCTCCGCGCTCCCTGGAGCCGTGTGAGGGCCGCTCCGCGCTGCCTGGGGCCGTGTGGGGGCGGCGCGTGCCCGCGGGCCGTGCCCGGTTACCGTTGCCGGGGCCCGGCGGTGGCGGCGATGGTGAAGGAGACGATCCGGGTGTACGCGCGGGTGAAGCCGCTGGGCAGGCGGCAGCAGGCGGGGGTAGGATGGGAGCTGTGCCCCGGGGGTGCGCTGGGGATGCCGGGGAGAGCCAAGGGCTGGCCGGGGACCCTCGCTCAGGTGCGGGCAGAGGAGCGGAGCTCATCCCCTTCCAAGAGGCTCGGGCGGCTGGCGGGGGCGGAGAGGCTGGTACGCGGGTGGGTGTGCGGAGAGAATCTCCTGCTGTCCGAAGCCTTAAGAAGTTCATAAAATCACTAAGTAGAGGAGTTTAGGCTGTAACTGTTGGGGGAGTGGCTGAGGAACTTTCTCAGCCACTGTTACAGAAAGGATCCGCAGGAAAGCGCTTGACACGCGTCACTGGGTTTGTGCAGTTCAGCAGCATTCTGAGCAAGGGAGAGGAACGTGTTGCTCCTAGTGTGCAGCTGCCCTCCCAATGGATAATAAAGATAATGAAAGTGTTCCTCAGGAACCGTGCACTTAGGTCTCTTAATTGCCTTCTTGTTTTAAACGAGCTCTTCTCGTTGCAGCCTTCGTCTTGCCGTAGCCTTTCCCAATGTAGTCTTTCAGATTTTTTGGAGAGTTTTGCACTGGGGGGCGTGCTTCGTTTTTTTTATAACATTACAGATATCAAAGAGGTTTAGTACGCAAATTATGTCAAAGAGGCTGCACTTTGGTTTCAAGTGTTGTAGTGTTTACATGGTGACAGGATAATGCTGTTATGCGCTGGTTTTGTTGTGTAGTAGTTAAGGGAGATCTGCTCACGTATTCAGTGCAATTTGTAGCAAGTTTTTCTTCAGACAATTACAGGTGCTAAGCTTGAGTGTTGTATCTAAGGGTAACGCTGTTCTGTTGATGACGTTATTCTGTGAATTTGTATCCATCCTTTATTAGAGTTATTCCGTTGATAATGAGGAACTTCTGCCCAGTCTGGAGATTACTGTGCCACGTGACTTAGCAGATGGGTTCATTAATAATAAACGAGAAAGCTACAAGTTCAAGTGAGTAGAAGCCTCATCGTTTTACCTTCTGCCTTTAGTGACTGACAGTGTTATGTGTAGTGATACAGATCTATATACTCAGGAAAAGTCTAAAATTAAATTATGGTATAGATGGGTTAATTTTTATATAACTCCTGTAACAAGAGGAATACTTCAGGACAGGCTCTTCACCACAATGGGTCTGATAGCACTGGATAAAATTGTCATACTATGTCTGTCCATTGCAAGTCATTATGTATTTCTAAATCTCATCTCAAAGATTCATTTACCAATTCTTCTATTTTTGCACTTTGTTTTGAATTTGTGTATGAAGACTGAATCAGGACTGTATGTTACCTTGCAATCTAATGAGTTGTCCTAGACTGGCTAAAGTCTTGATGCAAAACATTGTTTGGAAACTGTGTTTCAGACATAGCCAAAGCAAAGTAAAAAAACCCAGAAACTGTTGATAGAAATGAATTCTTGGTTTGAGAGTGTAAATATTTTTTAGGAACCTACAATCAGTACAGCAATATCAAATATTGTTATTAAACCAACAGAAAAGTGAGGCAACACTTCAAAATTTTGGTGATGAATAAAGCTAGGTATATCATCTCTCATGATGAGGTCAAGGCTGTCTTTTTCCAATTCAGTTATGCTTAATTTTTTTATAGTAACCAACAAGTAATTTGTTTCCCTATGCTGTTAAAAGAGAGAGCTCCACATAAAAAACTGCAGCTCAGACTAATGTAGTTTTACATCAGCTAGGATAACCTGCTTGGAAAAGAGGAGCTGCCCTCTCCAAATAGATTCATATGCAACACTACCTTAGTCTCTAAATGCCCCAAGCCTGACCTAATGAATGCAGATATTTTTGTCTGACTTTATAATTCATTAAAAACTCTGAGATGCATTTTGAGAAGCCTTATGCCTTACTGTTCTTAAGACAATGCAAGAATAATTGAGTTACTTGACTGATTAGCAGGATAGAATAAATGCTTTCATGTTTTGTGGTTTTGTGTGTTGCATTTGTCTGTGATACTGCACCCACTGCATGGGTTAGCACGGTGCTTTTCTAGACACCCAGTGTCCCTAAGGCCTTCCTACACACCCTGGGAAGTTCTGTGCAAGAATAGAGCTCCAAATAAGGGGGGCAACACAGCAGGGCACCAGCACTATGGGGGGCTGCTGGAACATGTGGATGACAACTTCCTAACATACAGTTAAGACAATCAGGATATTTGCAAACATGGACAAGCTGTTGAGGGATATTAAGCCTGGAGGTAGCTTTGACTGCAGTGGCTGTGAGATAATGAAATTCAGGATACTGAGAGAAGGGAGTAAGGCAAAAAGCAGGATCACAACCCTGGACATCATAAATGCAGAGTTTGTCTTGTTTGTGGATCCACTTGAAAGAATTTTGAGACACATTCCTGGAGAGATGACCAGGAAAACTGGCTGATTTTCAAGGATCACCTTCTTCAAGCTCAAGAACAGTCCATCCACGTGAACAGAAACGATGTAGAGGCAACAGGAGGATTGGAACAAGTGGTCCCTTCCAACCTCAACAATTCTGATTCTGTAAAATAACTGCAGATATTTTATATAGAAAGTGACAAAACATACCTAATTAAAAATCTCATTGTGACCTATAGTAATTGTGCAGCAGAATGAAGGAAATGGCTTAAAAAATGTGAGCCTGGCTGTACTGGTGGGATGCTGTATTTGGTTATAGTGTAATCTATTTATCCAGAATTCAGTGTGGTGCCAGTTACAAACACTAATTCTCTTGATGGTTTTAAAATACGGTTTATTTTTTTTCTAAGCCACATCATTTTATCAGAGGATTTTATTGTACAGATCTCGTCAAAGCAGCTCTGTGTACAGCCTATTTATGTACAATAGCACAACAGCAAGCTGTGGTTAAGACTACAGGGAAAACATTGTACTAAGTTATGTAAGCCTAATGATGTAAACATTGACTATTACAAACACAAACAAAAATGTATGAATCAAGTACTGTTTTAACATTCTAAGCAATTATTATTTGCTTAATATTTTCAGATTTCAGAAAATTTTTGATCAAGAGGCAAAACAAGATGTGATTTTTGACAGCATTGCCAAACCAGTAGCAGAATGGTATGTTGTTGATCCTGCTCGTAACCAGGGAAAAGCTATTCCTGCTTTTGTTGTGTTACTTGAAGGAGAGCTGTCAAGTCTTTGTCTTGTTGTAAAAGTGAATTGATGTTCTAGTTTACTAAATACTGACATGTCTGAATCCAGGAGATATACAATCCCCTGAGAATGTTATGCGTACTAATGTTCCTTTTTTGACTCTTCAAATAGCAATGCTACTGTTGCCTCTTTTGTTGTATAGCAATAGAAATCCATGCCCAATTTTTTTTTTTTTTTTTTGGCTGTAATATAAACTGACTTCATTGCCTTGGAATAGTATTTTCTATATAGTTTAATGTAGAGGTAAACCTAATGAAAATTTTATTCCCCCCATATAATTTTCATTAAGCTAGGGACTCTCACTAATGTTTGTGGAGATATTCCTAAGTCTTGTCATTACTTCTGTTTTGACATGTAAGGCACTGCTTTTGGCACTGTTTGTTTTTTTCTCCTCCATTTTCATAATAAAAAAATGCTCATATCTGACTGTTTGCAGAGGCAAATATTTAAGACTGATGAAGACCTCTGCATTTGTTGAGTGGATTGAATGCCACTCTGAAACAGATGGATTTTTCAATGGAAAATGGATTTTATGCCGTTCTCTTTGCTCAGTTTACTGTCTGTTCCTGAAGTTTGTACTGGTGTGGGACAGAATCCCATGCAGGAAGAAGCAGAATTTCTCTATAGTGTTTGCTTGTTGATCAAACTTGCTGCTCAAAATCCAGACTGGTAGTGAGTTGGGAACTATTACTTCAAGTGCCAATTTCTTTCTCACTCATTATCTGACCCACCTGATGGTTTAAGCCACAATTCTGCAAGTTATTCCTCAATGTATTGCACAGTCCTGTGTTTAGCACTGTAGGAAAACAAACTTCAGCTGGACACTCAGCCTTTCTTAAGTTGTTACAAGGAAGAAAAATATATCCATCTCTTTATAATTTTGTCTTTCTCCCCACTCTTCCTGTTTTCGTCTCTGAAGTCCTCCAAAGCAGGGAGGTAATTGACAGTGAAAATGAAAAGCCAGTGAATTTGAAATTTCATTAGAATAAGCTAACTAGACTAAAAATAATGCTTGTTACTTTGTCATCCAAAAGATATTTCTTTGCTTATCTGACATTATAGCTTCACATTAACTCATACACTTAATTTTAAGTATTTCTGGGTTTAATGTTGACTGCAGAAAAAAATCTTTATCAAATTTGAGTGTGTTTGGAAAGAGAACCATTCAAAGTCCCGTTGTTATTGTACTATGGACTTAATTTTGATATGCTGAGCTCTTGTTGAGGATAACTAACTAGTAAGAAACTGGCTACTTTTGTCTCTTTGGAGTGTTTTGCTAGAATATGGATATGTTTTCCAGTTAATGAGTTCACCTGTGCAGTGCCCTAATAATCAGGAAGGGGTGTTCTCCTTTATTTCAGTGTTAGCTGATAAAAGACCTGTTTTATATATTAATTTTCTCCGTTATGTATGTTTTAGTTTCAGGGTTTAGATGTTTTTTAAGTACCTGAAAGTACTTTAGTGCTATTAAAATCAATGGTGTTTAGGCAGACAGCTATCTCTAAATATCTCCAAGTCTTTGTCTTTAATGCTGAAATTGACTTATAAAACCATTCTTAATGAAATCAAAATTGCCTTTGAGCATTATAATGAGGTTAAGCTTGTATTCTAAACTATGCCTGTGTTACTGATAATTTTACTCATGCTTTTATAATAGAGTAGACAATAACTGAAGTATATTCATGTTTTTTATCCACTCCCTTAATTTTTTACCTCTTTATAGACAAAAATATAAGTTTCAAAATAAATTCAGAGTCGTGAAGTTCCTTGGCTAATGGAGCCTGAACTGGGCCTGAAATTTGTCTCACTCTGTGGTTAATGATAGCATTTTCTTTTCCATCATGGGAAGAATAAGAATTGCTCTGTTTCTCTTGGAGACCGCAGTTTTTCACAGTAAAATGTCCTTCGTTATTTGTTTCTTTCACAGTCAATATTCTCTTGCGTGAAAAAGCTGTTGCAATTACACATGTTTCTGTTGTTGGAGTCACTGTACTAAGGGAACGGATTGTGTGTTTGTGTTGCCAGTGAAAAGAAAGTAGCAGGAAAATATCAATGAAATAGTTCAGTAACATTTTGAGGTTCTTTGTCATGCATTCTTACAGTCCTGAGAAAATTCAGTTAGAGACTTGAATGCTTAGGGGAAAAAAAAATCTTGGGCATTGTTTAACTAAAACCAGAAAGGCAATGCTCAGGATTCTAAAATTTTTCTATTTTGTTCTTGGATGGATGGAAATTGGATGCAACTTTCTTTTCTCTTTTTCTTTTTAAGTAGGTTTTCTTTGATGTTGGGCCACTACTTCTTTCTCTAAGTCCAGTTACATTGTCATCTTGCCTGTGGTTTCAGAGGCACCAGACATTAGTTAGTTTAATTTGCTTCTTCAGTCAAAAGTGCCAGCCTCTGCAAACCATTATAAACAGATGACTTGCTTGAACTTTATTAGTTTTTTTCTGTCCTGGAGTCATCTTACATTGTTTCTTTTCCTTCTAATTTTAAATATATATTCTTGATAATGTTTTTGTGCAGAGTTTAAGAAGCACCACTAATTCTGTTACTGTATCAAAACCAGAAAAAAATAAATAGCACCCTACTTTAAAAGTTTGCTATGGCTAAGCATTGCTTTAGCCTCACAACTAAACAAGGCTACTCTCAAAATTTCAACTATTAGTATTATGTTTATGTATGCAACCAGAAATTAAGTAGAAAATGCTAACTGTTTTGAATTCATTGATTTTTCAGTTCTAAAATGAACTGAAAACTCAATGTTTTAGTATTAGATTTCTTGGTTTTTTAAATAATATTTGAAAATATTTTCAGTTCTCATGCAAATAAGAATTAGCTTAGCTGTTCATAAACCTAATGTCATCACCTATGATCTTTTGAAAAATCTGATGGCCTTGGGGATGATGCTCCCAATTCTGCAGGTTCTGGTTTCTTATGGGTTATATTTATCCTAAGAATTAGTGTCTGTAATATATAAACTACTTCAGTTGACTCTCAGCTGGTTTTGTGGGGCTTCTTTCTGCTGTGTAGTCTTACAGAAAATGTAGTAAAAACATTTTTATTAAGAGCTATTTATTTTATACCTGGATATACTTGCCACACGATGTTGAAAGTAGTGATCTGCCTCACAAAGACCTGTAGAATCTATATAGAGCAAAAGGACACATTGTTTCAGATGTCATCTTGAAAGAAATATAGCCTAAACTTTCCCCTAATTGAGAAATTAGCAATGCTTGCTGTTCTTTCTCAAAGTGAGTACAATTATGAGGCAATAAAAAGTGAGAAGTGTCATTGATATTTCTTCTCAAATGACTGTTAGTTGCTTGTTTGTTTTGACATAAATTGTGCAATTTAGAGTTGTTCAAGAAAGTTGCTTAATTTAAGTTAGTTTGACAGCTTTGATTCAGAATATCTTTGTGTCACTTATGTTATAGTGTTTATGGTGAAATTCTAAATATATTTAGAGATCTTGGTCAAAAAAAGAAAATATATTGCTTTTTTTTTCCCCAGTAGGAAAACTTCTGAAATTTCTAAGGAAACTTGCCTGCACTAATTCCTCAAAACTGTTGCATTCAAATCAGTTTTCTTTTTTAAAGATGAAGCATTACCAATTTGGATTTGTTCCACAAATATGGCAAAGACATAAAGAAACAAGAAGTCATACTGAGATACTTTGTTTCTTTTAATTAAAAGAAACTTTAGTTGGACCTCCAAGTGTTAGAAGATACCCGAAAGCTGAGTCTGTGAAGACAAATTCTCCTCAAAACTTATTTTCCAGATCCTTGAAATTAGGTTCTTCCTTCCTTTTATCTTCAGTATAATTTGAAAGGGTGAGAAGGGGTGGAGGGGGGCTGGTTTTGCCAGGATTTGGTTAATTTATTTTTTAATATCGATGAATTGAGGTTTCATGAGATAGAAGGAAGGAAAATGAGAGACACTGATTAAAAAAAAGTTCAGAACTGCAGGAACTGAGATAGAGAGGGCCAACAGTATCCAAATATCAGAGATACTGGTGACTTCTGCTTTTTTCATTAGTCTAATGTTTTGTAGTATTGAATATTTGTTTTGACCACATGCTTTTATGCTACTACACATTTAAAATGAAGATGGCAGAACTCGGGTAAAAAAAATAATGTGAAGCCAAAATAAACTAAGAAAATAAATAAGCTTTTAAGATCCAAGTTGTTCTCAGGATTTTCTCTTACCTACTTAAAAACACATACAGAATTTAGTCTTACTTAATAAGCATTTTTCATTGTTTTATTTATTCATATTATAAAATTTTTGTACAAAACTTTCTTAACCTATTAGAATAATTAAGTAAGAAGGGATCTCTGTAGGTCATCTGGAACAATCTTCTGAGGAAAGCAAGTCTGGCTTCTAGGTCACATTTCTTGGGCTCTCGTCCAATAGAGATGCAAAAATGTCCAAAGATTGGAATCCCACAATTCATCTGAGAACCTGTTCCAAGGCTTAACTACTCTGACTGTGAAGAATATTTTCCTTATGCCCACTTGGGACCTCAGCTTTGTCTTCTACCAGTGTAAACCTCTGGGAGGAGTTTGAGTCCATCCCTAATGATCAATTGCAGAAGGTGGTAATTAGGTACATATAAGGCTTTCTCTTTGCAAGTTTGATAGGAAACAGTTTGCTTGCCTTCTTGTGCATGACATGCTGAATTCAATTGGTTCTGGCAGGCTCATTCCAGTTTCTTAAGTGCATTTTTCATCTGCTGGGGAGACCAAAAGTGGGGACAGAACTCAAGGAGCAGAGTTTCTTTTTTTTTTTTTTGCTAATTTTGAAGGTAACTGTTCTGTTTGATTCAGCAAAAATGGTGCAGCAGCAGAGGAAGCAGAGTTCTTGGTTATACTTAGGCAAAAGCCTCCCTAAAGTCTCATTAACA